GCCACTAAGCTGGTCAAAAGCGGTTGATTCGTTCGAGAGATATCGTGAACGAAAGAAACCCGAAAAAGTGTTTATTCGGGATTACTCCGAAATTTGTGGTTCGATCAATTAAAATTGCAAAATTACTTATGAGGATGATAAAACTGCGTCGAATGCCGCCAACCGCGTGAAAATTGCTTGATCCATTCAAAAGTTATTGCGGTTTGAAAATTCCAAAAATAGTGATCTATGAAACTTCTATCAGACTTTCGACCTGGGAGAGCTCAAATGCATAGAAATGTTATTTCTTTGAACTCAGCGAGCTCAAAATATCAATTTTAAGCGCCCAGGAATGGAATTAGCGGGAAGTTGCAGGGATGGCCCTTTAGGTGAACCGTTTTTCTAAATTTTTTTTGTCAGATCAGGCGAATCCCTCTAGATAATCGTCAGATTATGAGACAGTACGTTTAGAACATAAAGATGAACCACATATATCTTAATCTGACGCGCTTGAGTATTTCAAAATTGTGATTTTTTTTGCAAATTATGAAAATGGCTGTGGGTTTGCGTCCCATCGAAATCGTCAGATTAGTGAATGAGAGCTTTTTTTTGGTGCACTTAACACTCCCTTAGAAAATCTGACGCGCTCGATATTTTTTTTTTTTTTCATTTTCAACCCTTAAATACAACCACCCGCATCATGCAAACGATCAGATTAACATACGTACATTATTAAAAATACGTAGGGCATAGATGCTATCAATATCTGACGCGCTCGAGGATGTCCATGCAACAGTTTTTTTAACATATTTAACTATCTATAGCCGCTTCCCCCACCGATGAAAAGGAATTTATCATATAACATTTTTTTCTTCTTATTATCTAAGCTTTGCATCCCAATAGGTCTCTACGACGCTCGAGTAAATCCCCATTTAGCATCGTGGGCTCCCCTACCATTAGTATTTAAGATATTGTTTTATAACAATAAATCATATTTGAATATTGCTCTGTCTTGTTCATTTCTCGCTTCCTCTCAAAGTGGCGAAGACTACTTCAAGCCCTTAATTATCGTGGTGAGCCTGCCCGGTAGCTTTGAGATAATCCAACCACCTCGAACCATTGATCCTACACGTAGGGCTCCGTCTGTTACCTTAGGTCTCTTGGTGCAGACATCCCGTACTTATTTATATATTTATATATTCACTATTTATGTGTTAGGGTACGTCTGTAGGGCTTAGGGATCAGTAGGGTTGTTAGGTACTTACGTCTCACCCTCTCATATATTTAGTCATCTAGTGCAGCTTGCTCATACATACATTACATATACTATTCAGATACTCCTGACATTGAACACATATAAATTTTAAACACACTTTTCACAGTCCACTAACTAGCAAGCTGTTCAGTCTGACATTACTATACCCCACACGGATTGGTTGGATGCATATAGATTATAAGCATATAGCACAGCATACTTTAAATCACTGGTACCGCTTTCTCTTCTTGTTTTGTGCATCTTCTACTCGCATTACTCATACACAATTCTCCTTTACAATAAGCGAAGCGGGCTAAAAATTTTCAAGAGTTTCTAAAAATCAAAGTCAACATTAGATTTAAAATTCTTCTTCAATTCTTCGGCAGCTAATTCGTAACTCGTGTTAGTAGCGCCGCACAAATTGCTCCACTCTCTCCTGTCTTTAGCAACCCTTTGAGTGATTGTAAGGACCTTTACTTGATCGGATGATAGGAGATCGACCTGGTGTCCTTCACTCTGCCAGTCACGTTAAGTTTTTAAACTTGGAACCGAAGGGCCCCCCCCGGGGAAAAGGGGGAAGGGGGGGGGGGGGGGGGGGAAGGGGGGAAAAGGGGGGGGAAAGGGGGGGGGGGGGGGGGGGGGGGGGGGGGGGGGAAAGGGGGGGGGGGGGGGGGGGGGAAAAGGAAAAAAAAAAAAAAAGAAGGGGGGGGGGGGGGGGGGGGGGAAAGGGGAAGAGGGGGGGGGGAAGAGGGGGGAAAAAAAAATCTGGTTCTTTGCGTTTTAGATGTCTAAAAAACTTAGGATGCGTTGGTAACAAAGTGTTAAAAGACTTCACTTTTTCCTGTAATATAAGGAGTATTAGTTTGGACACGTTTATTTCCTTAACTAGCAAGGAATCCTAAGCAAAATTATAATTATTGATTGCTAATGAACATTACTTAAGCTAAGTTTGCTGAACATTTAAAAAATGCGCCCAGAAAGAGGGCCTTTTAGATTTCTACGATTGCTTTACGTCCATGCCAATGCAGTAATGCAATTTAATAAAATTTATAATTTTTCCCGTTTGAACACAGTTTGTAAAGGCATTCACGAATTTTGATAGTTCCACACACACGTACAAATAGCGTTTAAGTTTTCTATAAAATATTAAAGTTTTATAATTTTACTACTCGTAGTAGACTCGGCCAAGCGTTGCTGTGGCTATGATTTTTGTTATATTACATAGTAGTAAACTATTCAAAAGAAACGGCAGGAGAACACCAATCCACCATGCTTTTTTGGTGGTTATGCCATTAAATTGTAGCTTAAGTGAAACGTTGGTATTTATTTTGATAAGGATCAATACCTATGTACGAATAAAGAGCCTTTTCTAGCGTTGGTATTTTAGTAAAAAAAATTAACAAAAGGACGCTTTTTGTGACGTAACTATAAGAAAGACAGCTGTCGCATTTTTTATAGATAGTGATTCCTGAAAATTGAAATACATCATTTTGTTCTATCATTAATAGTTTTCGCAGCGCACGCGATTGAAGGAAGTTTTTTGTTTATTTTTTTACACCTTGGGTTCGATTATTCAAGTTTTAGTAAGCATCCCTAATTTTTTTGAAAATGAAACATAGCTAGCAAACTATGTCACTCGGGAATAGTGTAGCTTGCCAACGGTGAAAGAATTTTTGAAATCGGTCCAGTAGTTTCGGAGCCTATTCACTTCAAACAAACAAAAAATCTAGATAATATCATTATTATATAATAATATATATTATTATCTATACTATATAATTATCCAATGATTGAGGTTAAGTTCTGAGATGAATAGCTAAGAAACTCGGTAGGATTCTCATTTCTGTACAATCCTTAAACTAAATGACATTATGAATACGGCATTAAATATATTTTAGAGGTAAATTGTGTTTGCTGCCTCTCCATCGAATAACGCGACAAAAACCTTTGAAGACATAATATTTTTAGGGAATTCTTTCTTTGTAAATTATTTTCATCGTAAAATCTTTTAATGTCTCAAGCCCAATGCTCTGTCGTTTTTATGTTTCACTGATAAAAAGTTCTAAATGTTCTGTAATAAAAAGTTAAGGGATGAGATTTGAACTTACAAATTACGACTTAAGGTCGAGGGCCCTTACCTAACATGACAGGCAATTAATCGTTTAATATATTAACTTTGCAAGTTCGTCTGCCATCTGCTTGGTATTATAAAATAGATATAGGTAAAATATGATGAAAAAGCCACATTTTAATCTATAGTATATAAAATAAATTAGTGGCGCTACAGTATTTTTTCAGGTCTGGGCCCCAGATTTCTGTATCTATTGCATGAACATTTGTCAATCAAATAGGCAAGTAGGTGATAAGCTTTCTGTGCCTGACACTCGCCGTCGACTTTTTGGGTCTAAAGCATGCCGGTTTCCTCCCGATGTTTTCCTTCACCGATCAAAAAAAAAAAAAAAAAAAAAAAAAAAAAAAAGGGGGGGGGGAGCGAATGTTAAATGCGCACATTGAAAGAAAGTCCATTGGTGCACAGCCAGGGATCGAACCTACGACCTCAGGGATAAGAGGCGCACTTTGAAGTCATTTGGCCAACACTGCTTAATCTATACCATATATGTTACATTAATTCCACGTAATATATATATTATGTAGAAGTAAACAGTCTCGTATCTACATATCAAATTTATTTTTATTGAAACTTTATATACACTCGCACGCAACCACAAAACCAGGTCTTGCTTCTTCCGCGCGTATATGTGCGTGCACGCAGGTAACCCAGAATTATGAGTAATGCGTGCGCCAGTGCGCTTTGTGACTTATTGTTGGAAGCCCTTTACGCCATATATATTTTTTAAAACATTAAATTATTTTTTTTTTAAATGTGGGTTATTTCTTCAAGCCCATAAAACTATTAAAATATATCAAGAAAATGCACTTGTTGTGACACGGAAATGCATAATTAAACCCGCAATTTACCGTAAAGTAGAGATGTTATGGATATGATATTTCGGATCTGGATACGGATATGGATATAGGAATAAAATTATATCGGTTTCGGATATGTAATTATTTCGGATTATCCGTTAGTTTCGGTTACGGTTATTAGATTGAAGTAAAATATAACCACAAATAGTATATAATAATTTAGTGTTATATATAGGTTTTATCCTCCTCAGTTTTATCTATAAATAAAAATGCAATAATTTAAGAGCTGTAAAAAATCATTTAGCTTTATACATTGCACATATCAACTTATAACCTATTAAAAAGAAAATATTTTATATAACATATAAAATGTTTTCTTTTTTAATTATTTTTGTAATGAAACCATTAACAAAAACCTGTTGAAACATGTCGTTTTATTTAGATTTTAGACTCCGCCTTTATACGAAACTATCCGAAAGTTCTGAAACGGCTATGGTTACGGATATATATTTATTTCCGATTGTTTCGGCTACGGTTACGGAGCTCCATAACATCCCTGCTGTAAAGTATACATTTAGTAATTACTGGTTAACTAGAACAAGTATGATTTTTTTGTATGTTGCTTTCTCTGTAACTAAAACAAACGTATTGTTGATAATCTTTCTTATTAGCCTATAATCATGTTTTGCTGCACTGCTGTTGTTATCTGTATTGGTTTTTGATTTAATATTATATGTGCATACGTGAAATACAATCGGGATTTGAACAAGCTTGAGAATTGCTTCAATTACAAGAATAAACCCTCATTTTTGTTTCAGGTATCAACTAATGATTAGAAATGTTAAATTTGTCGCCGTCGAATTATCGTAAAGTCGAGGTTGATCGGGACGGTAATGTGATAAAGGTGTTCTCGAAGAGTCGACCGTGGTGGGACATTTACGACCCCAACGTTGGAAAGGAAAGGAAGGACGACCCAGAGAGTATAGGTACTGTACACTTAATTTAATACAATTACGGTCTTATTAAGGCGTTTTATAATAATAAAACGTGTGTGTACTTATGTAAACGCGTTAGAAGTTATACTTCTTTGGCGTAACAAGATGAAAATCTTTTAAACAATTATATTCTACATTTATAGAAAAAACGACACTAACAATAGAAAAAAACTAAAATGTGACTATAGCTAACTCCAGGGTGTCGGTGTGCGCGCGCATCGTAAAAATTTACTCTCATAATTTTTCCCTAACGCGCCAAAAAGTATAACTTCAATAATTTATTAATTTCTATACAACTATCTTAACACTTATAACCAATGCGATAGTTGTGTATATTATCTTTAAAACATCAATATATATAAACAAGTATATAGTCAATTGAACACACATTTATAATTATAATTTGTATGTAAAGAGTCAGCTGTTTGCTTGATAATACAAAAAAGCATATAAACCGATGTCTAACAGATAATAATTTTCTAAATCAATCCGTGACGTAATTGTGATATATTTAGGGAAAATTAATTAGCACCGACATAAGTTTCTTTGAGAAACGTTTCTCAAGCCAAATTGACGATTCAAAAATGCTTTCGTTAAAGGCGTAGACGTTGATGAATTAAGGCAGTTTTCATAATCTACAGTTGCTATGGGCGTTCTAACAAATACATTTTATGTAATTGATTCCAACAAAATTAACCAAGATCAGATTTCCAGGAAATCAGTGGCAATATTTCACACACTTTAATTATTATAAAAATCAACCAACAATGACTAAGTCTCCTTACTTTAATATTGGTTATTTTTAAAACTAGTTAAAATTATAAGTTACACGAATACCGGGAACTTATTAACAAAATACACAAAGTGAAGTAAGTTCATTATATTAAGGGCGTTTTCTTAATGTAATGGCCCTACGATCAAGTTCACGTATTAGTCTTAATTTGGTCAAACGATAATAACAATATTCAATGTTTTAAAAATGCGAACGGTTTTGCGTCAGGTTTTTCATAAAACTCTCGCTCCAACTGTAATATTCAATAACATATGGCGCTCCATACACAATAAACGTCCATCAGTAACTCTTGATTGTAATGTTGAGATTTTTACGACGCATTATTAAGGTTGCTACATCGACAAGTTACAAAGTACCGGGGCACTTGATTCAAAAAAAAAAATGTTTATTATGGAACATAAGATACATGTATCACTTATTCCACGTCATTAAATTTGAAGGCATCCCTACTCATCGGCAAAGAAGACAGAGGGTGTAGGCCGAGAGAAAAAGCCGGCGTAAAAAACTCTCGGTACTCTTTTAAAACAGCAAATCATCAAACAACACTTATTTAAAACAAATATCGCAAATTAATTTGAAATTAGAAAAAAATTCTGGTAACTAATTATAATATTTTCTATAAAGGTTATGAAGTAGACTACAGAGAGCCAGGTGAAGAATACTTCGGGAATATAGAAGACGACCCTGTGACGTCTATCCAAGTCGAAGCTCTTGAACAATTGAAGCCATCATCACCGAACCCAAGATACGAGCAAGCACCCACCAGTCCTGTCACATTGGCTAATGTAAATTTAAGAGGTAAATGTATGCATGCATCTTTTAACTAAAATGATATCTTACACGCAACTTTGTTGTTAGTTAGACATTGATAATTTACAATACTTTGAAGTTTTGAGAGGTAATTATTACAAAAAAATGTTTATTATGGAACATAAGATACATGTATCACTTATTCCACGTCATTAAATTTGAATTTGTAGGCATCCCTACTCATCGGCAAAGAAGACTGAGGGTGTAGGCCGAGAGAAAAAGCCGGCGTAAAAAACTCTCGGTCCTCTTTTAAAATAGCAAATCATCAAACAACACTTATTTTAAAACAAATATCGCAAATTAATTAGAAGTAGCCTGTCTAGCACTAGTCCCAGGCCCTTTTATCAACTAGATAATCGTTGACTTTATAGTAAGCCTTTTTACACAGCTTTTCTTTAATACATTTTTTAAATTTATTAAAAGGCAGAGATAAAAGAGCCTCTGGGATTTTATTAAAGAAGAGTATCCCTTTTCCCAAAAAAGAATTACTAACTTTAGATAGTCTAGTACGGGGAAATTGCAGCCTTTATCTGTTTAATTCGCTTGCGGTCTCAATAGAACTAATGTATATGTAGTTAAGTAAGCTTACTGAGATTTAGATGACGCCAACTGCTTTTGGAATACAGACTGATTACTTAAGTATAACTTCACCACCATGGAATATGAGGCTGCAGTGCTTAATTAACTTTTTCGTTAGATTTAAAACACTACTACGTTTTTATTTTGACAGTAATATTTATTTGAAAAAATATATAGTTTTTGTTACCAATGAAATTTTTGAAGTTATACTTCTTTTAGCCCGTTAGGGAAAATGACTCGCACACCGTCACAAAAAGCCGACACCCGCACACCGTCTCAAAAAGCCGACACCCTGAATATCTGTTCAATCGTCGGTAAAACAGTCTGGGACGCTAGTTGGCGCTTGCTCTGTTTTATCGACGAGTTGCATTGTCTGTCATGGCGTAGTATCTGTTTTTCAGAGTCGTGTTTATTTAAACCAAAATAATGATTTCTGTACGAGAAAACCCGTTCCAATGTGATAAAAAACAGTGTTTATTGTAAAATTTCATGATTTACATATTATAAAATGGACAAGAAAAATGCAATTCGAAGAGGGAAACGTCCCTCTAAAGTGCTCGAAGAAAATGATTACGCTAAAGAACTATAACTTCTAACGCGTGTACATAAGTACACACACGTTCAGACCGTAGGTACTGTTTAAAAAAACTGACTTACCTATCTAAGCCTTACTTATTTATAAGCGGTGTCACATACCTTACGATTATAAATACATTTGAAAAATAAATCTTCTCTGTGAAACAATTTGGGGACACGTATCCCATTCAGATACATTCGCCCTTTTACTTCAATTCAGGCTTTAGTCGCTGCGACACTATCGGTCTAAATATAAGCTATATGTCCTTAGTAATTTGGTAAAGTGCATTGGCATTTGCATACTGAAAATGTCAAAGCTCTCTTAAAACAACCAATATTCCAAACCTTAAAAATACAGACTTATAGTATCGTCCCTTTAGGTATATTAATTTACCTTATGTAATACCTATTTAAAATCTAAGTTTATTTGATATGGTTCTCCTAAATATATAATATATTACTTAAAATAAATCTAGCTAATTTAAAAAAGTATTTACAATGTTAACCTATATTTCCCTCTACCTCTCTCTCTCTCTCTCCCTCCTTCATAGGCCGGCAACGCACCAACAAAAATAGATGTCCATGGGCGGCACTGCCCTTTTTGGGCGTCCCGTAAGCTCGCTTATCCCCCTATACATTAAAAAAATATAATTTGATAATCATTAAGTAAGGATAAATAAAAAACTAAATTAAATTTAAAAAGTTTGGACCTGTATACCTTTTATGCTGGCAACATTTCCTAGCTGTAATCCAATACTTATGTGTGACCGGTACTAGCGGTAATTAGCCGCCCTAAAATGTGCACTAAATTCCCACAATTAACTTCCATGAATTAATCAAAAAAAATTTTGTTATTTAATACCTAATCAGCCATGTACGAACTACGTATGTCCATAAATTGTGGGGAATTGCTTCCAACAAGGCCTTAACCTTCCTGTCGGAAACAGAAAGATTAATCGTTGTATGAACGCCTAGGTACATACCTAGAATGTGTATGAAACAGACTTTTACTCTCATATATTTAAAAAAAGTAATTATCTACTGAATAATAATGACAAATTATTTCTGTAAGAGAAAAAGACATTCTCGGCAATTCCCCCTCTTTGTTTTTCTTTTATTTAACATTATAGATTTATGAATAAAACATTTTAATAACATTTATATTCTTAAAAAATATACAATATCCAGAACGTAATTGGAAAAAGTAATGAATTTATTGATTGTTTTACTAAGTTGGACACTTGGTTTTTAAAACATTTTGGAGATAAATACAGCCTTAATATAGCGTCTAGCATTCTTATGCTAAAATAATTTTAAAACCGGTCCAGTGATTTTCCTGTTTATTACAATGTTTCCTCTTTATAATACGAGTATATTATTCCGCCTTCTGTTTAAATAGACTTTTTGATAGTAAGTATATGAAAACAGAATACGTATTAAGGCCCTATCTAATAGCAATTAGTTATGTATAACATTAAATTAATGTAATTTTATCAATTTTTTTTCTGAAATGGATTACTTCGCTTGCGATACAATATATCGTGTAAATTTTAAAATCATGTTCTATATACATTTTCGTCATAAAATGAATTCAAAGTGTCAAAAATTGGCTATGTTAGGATTTTTTTTTCTATCGAGCGAAGTTATTTAAATCGTGTATCGATCTTTCAAAATGGATACATAAACTACTCAACTCCACCATATATTTTTTCCATTCGCCTGACTTCAAGAAACGATGACGAAAAATGGAAAGAAACAATGTACTTTTTGGAGTTTGGCGACCTGCCTTGCGATTCTGGCGGTTTTCACAGCGGCGGTCGCGCTCTAATCAGTCGTGAAGCAGTCATTTTATTATTTGGCATTCTGATAAGGAGGGAGCTTGATTATCAGAATGCCAAATCATATCAGTATCCTTAAACATAACGTCATATTCGTAAGCCTTAAATTAAGGGACGCATTTTTCCTAGCCGATAATTTGCAAAGGAAATCTTAGCATTTCATATAATTTTGTTAATATGATACAAGTTTAAATATGAATATTTTTTTAAGTAGCTTATTATCATAGGCTTACTAATGCAGTAATTCGCTCCTATCACGCAATGTTACTGTAAGGTATGCAATGTAAGCATTTCTGCGTCATTTAATATCATATTTACTTGTCATATGATTGACCAACCCAAAAATATTGTTTGGGCTTACTTAACTTAATCTGCAAACTATGCGCGACATATGAAGAAAAAATATAGTTTATTAATAACTAGTTCTGATTGTCTCGAGTATTACAAAAAACCAGCGCTATCTAAGTTTTCTTAGATGATATATAATTTTATCACTAATACTTCTGTTATTAAACTGTTGCAAACTGAAGGTGTTTTTAAAAGAATTACACAAACTTTGTAATACCTTACTATGTACAGTTTAAAGCAGGACTATCTTTTCTCATAAAATAGCAATGAACCTTTGAATAAGTCAATATTATTTAACGTATAAATGGTCATAGATGTGTTAAATTGACAAAAACCTAGTGAAAATTCCATGGTGATCATGGAGATGAAGTTCATTTGATCTTAAGCTGTATTGTATTTTCTTTTTCTTTATTTGATTTTTGAATTTGAATTTGATATTACTTTAGTACATATGATATGTTTTCTATCTAAAAGAAATTTAGATAGAAAATACCACTTAAAGGTAGGAAAATAAAAATATTAAACATTGTCTGATAGTTGGGATACAATTTTCAGTAGCTCAACCATGACAGGTGTTACACCTCAAAATCAAATGTTTGCGTGAAAAATTGGCAGAGCCCCTGGTGATTTTCCGCGAAAGCATTTTTCATACAAAATGTTGTGCATACTAAAATGTGAAAAGCTTGTCAAACCGCACTCTATTATAAACACGTGTTGTGTTCATCAAAGTATGGTTAATGTTCGCAATAAAAATGGTCATAGCGATGTCATATTGCTGGAACATTACGACCCTGTATTATCTCCGTAATAAGCAATAAAAGACTGGATGAATCCTATTGTTGGTTCATACAAAAATTACTGAATATTTAAGGTCAAAGGTTATAATTCTCAACAGATTATATTGATGCCAATGAATTTTAACTTACACAAATAGATAAATTAATAAACATAATATTTGAGACGTTTTTGCCCTGTATATAAAGCGAAAGGATAGTGTCACTTGATTGGGATTGGTTAAACAAAGAAAGATCTCGTCATGTTTATGAGATTGGACTATATTTACAGAAAATTAAATACGTTATAGATTCGTTTATATTTTTAGCTTACTCTGTGAGAGAGAAGATTTTTCACGTACATATATTGTGTATGTTCTCGCATAACTTTTTTCTGTGAAAAGTTCGTAATGTAATAGTCTGATAATTCGGCTTAGGCTGTGGCAATCAATATACAGTGTCAACTCCATGTAACGTTTCTCGATTTAACAGCAAACCCCGTCGCGTCGAAATCATTCGGCTTTTACGGTTGACCAGAGCTAGCTGTTGTTTAGCTTAGCTCGCATAGCTGACCCAATTTTCCATTGTTGCGCAGACCGCAAACTATGCGAACTAAGCTATGTGAGCTAACTAAAAATGCGAAGCTAAGTTAGTTGTGTATGCCGATGCGCAGCTACACGAGCTAAGCTAAGCCCCTCCCGCTACCCCGCACACCCTTTGCACATAGTATGCAACACTGACTGAGCTTTGGGTTAGCTGTTGGTGTGCACGCTATTTATTTCTAGCTTAGCTTAGCCTAGTTGCTTGGCATAGTTGTTTAGCCTTGGCATAGCTTAGTTTTCGGTCTGCAACCGGCTTTAGGCTATACTTTACAGTCTACATAGCTTTACACCCACTCTCAATAACGAATTATATAGAAAAACGTACATTTGAAGTAGCCGCAATTAGTTAAAAATGTGGAGCTGTTCACGTTCTTTTGTAGCTTTCTAAGACATTCGTTCTATTGTTTACAAATTGGGATTGCTTGCACGTGCATTATCACGAAGATCCCTGAATATCGCAAGATATTAATAAAATAAGTAAAAAATACAACATGTGCACTAAGAGACGTCACATGAAAATAATAGACTATACGTTATATAGACTATAGACTATACGAATAGCGTTCAAAAAAGGATTGTGTGGTTTATGAAACCACGGGTAAAAGTGAAACTTTTTTCCACATTATAGACATTTAACTAAAATTTTTTGGAATAATATTCCATTAAGGGTATAAAAATCGTTTTACAATCTTAATTTTATACTTGGAAAGTTGCAATGATAATGGGAAAAAGTAGACTAAGTCTCCAACTAATATTTTTAGAGATACGACATACATAATACTCAACAATTATTTAGATCTAAATAACATATTAAATAATAGTTATACACTACACGGTCAGCTGCTGCAAATAGGCGCCGCCATATTGGCCTTGGCGTTGACGAGCGCCTTTCACTTTATCCCTACTCCGCGGCCGACCGTCACGGACATGCAACACAAAGACGAAAAAGTTTGAGACGATGTAATAAAAGTTTCACTTTAATAATAATTGTTTTTTATGTAATTACTAACGCTAGTCTGATATAAACCTATTTATTATACAGATTTTTCTTCTTTCCATTTAACGACAACTCTTTGTAACTTCCAAATATGCACAGTCCCTTGTTAGTGTTATATAGATTTTACACTTAGAGTTATAAAATATTTCGCATTTTATAAAGAAATTTAGCCGAGATATATGAAGTGTTAAGCACTCAGCAACGGAGGTGGTTTGGTTATTGTTTTAGCAAAATGACCTCTTAATATTTTTACATTTAAAGTGTATAGTTTATTTATATCTATAATAGTATCACAGTATTATTTACTGCGAATAGCTTCAAAGGTATGTTTTAGTTATAGCGAAATTATGAAATAATTTAAAGTACATTTTAGAGAATAAATTAGACCACATTTGTTTAATGAAAATGATACCGCAGTAAGAGAAATCTTTTGTCCCATCATCCTTTGCATATGTATAAATTTCATTGCAACCTAAACAATTCTTGGTGTGAAATTTAAAACCCTGAAACATGAAAAAGCTTTCGCTATAATATTTTTATTTTGCAAGCATTTTAAATTTTCACTAAAGGTTCCTTCATTTTGTCATCAGATTTTCTTTATTTCAAGACCAGTTATAATCCTTCATTTAAATGCAAAACTTTCTTTCACTTCAAAAAGAACATTTGCATTTCCAGAAGGTCCTTTGTTGACGAATATAACAGTCCTGTCCGAGATTAGCTTTAATGATTTTATATATCCTCAAGCCTTGTTCACCTAACCGTCAAAAAGAAAAATTTAATTCAAACCAATCTTCTTGTGTAACATTATAATCTCGGCATATTTATTATCGGTCGAAAAATTGTCTTAAATTTAACGCATTATTTTCTAGAAGTGTAGAACACTGGCTCATCTGATTTGAATAAAACTTACATGAAACTGCTTCAGACACTCATACTGCCAGAAGGCAAGCGAGGTCTTTGACAGCCTTTTACGAATTTGTATGCATTTTTGTTCAAGGTTTTAATTTAAAAAGATTTAAATAAAATGGCAAGGGATTTTATACTTGGTTGTTCAAAGTTCTACGAAGATAAACAAGAGTAAAATATGTATTTAATATCTTTTTTTTCTTACCCGTAAAGCGTTCCACTAATGAGATAGATAAATGTATCTACAGTATATCACAATCCACCAAGATAAATCAAATTCTTTTTACAAAATAATTATAATGAACAGGATTTTGAAACAACGATAGTATACAATACAAAATAAATATCCTTTCAACGGTTTCGCCTTTATTTATTAAATAATAGACTGGTTCTGAAAACCTTTCTTTGGGTAAAATATATTACGTATTAATATTATTACATAAAACAGCTTTTAGCGCAAGTAATTACCTAGAAGCTGCGAGAGGATTGAAAATATTCAATTACGAAGCGAACGGAAATTACTAGTTAATGCATGAAATTTAAAAGTATTACCAAAGTAAACTTAATTATTAGTTTTTGTTTGTCATTAACTAAGAAAAATTGTTTCTAATTTCTAAGTTTAATTACACTTTGATTATATGATGATTGATTGATGATATGGGCAGTTTTAGTTTCAGTTCTCTATTTAATAATTCCAAAGAAGCAAATACATAAATTGTTGGAAATACATACTTTGTTACTGTCATCCGAGTTATTTGATTATTGCGTTATGATATTTAGCTTTCCAATTAACTCTGTTCAACACGAAACGATTTTTTCAATACTGTTTTTAGTGTAATAAATAAGTTGATCAGACTATTATTACTACCTCATACAGAAAACTTATTACTATCAATTTTCGTCTGATGGAAATGTTAATGAACACATCTTTTTTTAGAAGCAGTACTAGTGGCTTTGGGCGGCGCAAGCGCGGCAGTGGTCCTTCTCCTCGTGATGGCTGGAGTCTTCTGCGCTCGGCGACGCAAGAACAGCCCCTCCCCTGTCCCTTCACCCCCGATTCTTGTCTACCCACCTCACGATATCACGGCACCATGTTATCTGTAAGTATTTAAATAGTAGACAGTAAAATGGTTTTGATTGCCTGTGATTTAACAATCAATTCAATGGGTCAATTTCCCAACAAAACATCATTTATAGAATTATATTTTCAAAAACTTTTTGTATACGGTATACGTCTCTTTTTAATTATTAGCAATACAGAAAACTACTAAAATATTCAGTTAATTAATGACAATGATGGTAATATTAATGGTATATAATTAGGTAAATTTATGTATAAAAAGCTACAGAAGCCAAGGTAACAGTACAATAAATGGGTAAAAAGAGGTTAATTAAATACACTTCAATCTAGCTTCTATTTTATATTTCATAAATTGGAATAACATAAAAATTAATTGTACGCATTTAAATTGATCTAATTACCTGGTTATTACTGTTTTTATGTTGAGTGAGACAGACAACAGCTTATGTCTGAATAATTTATCATGATCAAATTCGGCTCGACATTTATCTAACAAAGGCCGATAGTTGTTTATTACATCATAAATTAAGCTTTAGTTAAGCGAAACTGAAGCTCTTATTGAAACCTGTCAACGCAAAATACATCTTAACGTTTTAGATATGCAATACTAACTGATTATAAACAAGTAAAACCGTGACCGCGTTTATATTTTTTTCTAAAGGAATTGATGACACAAATAAATTATATTCCTTGAATCATAAAGAAATAAATAACTACAGAAGTTAAAATATGTATATCGTTATACAAGTAACATTTTGATCTCTCTCGCAATATTGTATAATTGTCTTCCGTAACATACTGTTCACAATTACTTTATTAATTTTGACCTCTTAATTTTTTCTCACTCATTTGGCCCGATGTGCGTCCATATAGAATACTCATCAAAGACAAAGTATCGAAGACACTATTGCGTCAAATTCACGCTCGTCAGATGTAAGATGTTTCCGCCCCTGGATACGATGCCAGAAGACTCGCAAGTGCATAATTCCTGATGATAGGAAGAAGGACCCTAACTCGGATTAGTTTGGAAATACCTCAACGGGCACGTGGTTACATAAGGATTATCTATCGAGAAATTAAAATTTCTAACCGTACAAAATGTAACTAAGGAAAATTAAATTCTCTGCCAAGTATACGTTAACGTAATTAGCTTAATGGCATCCTCCAGAATATTCTAATTAGGATAATTGTAACAGGACTAAGGAAGTTAACTTTTCCCTTCCAACGCTGCGATCTTCGTCATTGGGGGAACTCCGTGACGTCAGCGTTTCAAGCCTCAACAGTGAGGTATTGTGCCCACCGACACCTACGCAATACCGATCCAACTCTTTCAGTAAGTATTTAACATATAATTTTTTTTTATTATATGAAAAGGTTATTTAGTTGAAGTCGTAGAGGCTTGCCCAATCTGGAGGATGGAACACTATAAAACGGAACTTTCCATCTTTAATTACAAGTTTTATGAACAACGGATTAAAAAAAATAATAGATGGTATTAGCGCCATATTTGTTGCGCAAGATAATTATGAGTATTTTTATATAAAAAGCTAAATAAATCAGTGGCACTACAACCTCTTTAGGTCTGGGCCTCAGATTTCTGAATCTGTTTCATGATCATTTTTAAATCTTATAAGCAAGTAGTTAATCAGCCTCTAGTACCTGACACACGCCGTCGACTTTTTGGGTCTAAAACATGTCGGTCTCACGATTTTTTCCTTCACCGTTCGAACGAATGTTAAAGTACATAGAAAGAAAGTCCATTAGTGCACAGCCGGGGTTGAACCTACGACTCAGGGATGAGAGTCGCACGCTGAAGCCACTAGGCCAACACTCGAGTATTTTTATATACATTTACCTATACTTATACATTTGATAAACAGTGGTAATGCGAGATTTTGATTGTGCACAGTTGTTTCTAACAGTGAACTCTCAGGAATTATTTATTACAAAGTAAATTACATTTGAATATAAAATTTGTAATTCGTCTCGTCTAAATCTCTTCGAGTAAAATTCTACAAAATAATTGCAGATTAATTGCTGTCAGATAGTTTAGATATACAGACCACGATTGTTGCAAACGTGAAATACAGAGATATTTTGTTAAAATAACAAGGCACTCGATACATAATGTAAATTCTCATTAACCTCGCATTGTCCGTTACAAATATATAAGTTATTGATACGAAGTAGTAATATTTATAATAACACCCTTTTAACAGTCCTTTCAATTACAATGAACCTATCCCGTCCTTATATACAAATGTAAAGAGCTTCACTTCTAGTCTAAATATAATAAAACTAGCTTTCGCCCTCGTAGACTTTGGGTATTTTGGTAAGATTTATTGCGACCTAGTTTTATTGCAGCGAATATATTTATACACAATCACACAGTACAAAAATACGTTCTGTAGTTTTACATTTCACGTTCATACAGACAGAGACGCGACCGAAAGGCTTTACTTTAAAATATAAAAATACACATAATACGAAAGCTTTTAATCAAATTTAAATACTGAATAATGACTTTGAACTGATTTAACGTAGGATTTGGAGATTGGACGGTCTTAGCGTAAGACTTATGATTAAATACTTTGTAGAAGTTTAATATTTGAGCGTTTAAAATAAATCCAGTGAATAAACTTAAACATTGAGAGATTTTCTTAAGATTTTCAAATAATTGGCCTTAAAAGATTTCAAGAGCTGTTAAAAATGAATCCACAACGCCTAACGCCGATGTCTGGCCATGCGTCATACTCGTGAACGGGTGCTACTTGTGGTGACTGGTCGTACTTGAATTCGTGTATGCATACGGTGATGTTAATTATTTCGACTATGTGTTTGCGTGTTGTTCCCACGAGAATGTAAGTGCGTGCTCCTATTTCACCATGCCTCCTGCTGATAGAGGACAAGTCTTTGTTTTTAATTTATGTTATTATTATTAATTACTTAAGATGTCATGTGGAACATGGTTGCAGCTCCTTACAAACGTTGTGTAAAAAAAAACATGGTGATTAAAAGAGTGGCGGAGAGTTTATTGCCAGCCTCGTCTACGCCCTTGATTTAAGAACTGGCACTAAATGTAAAATTAGAAGCATTGATATGTATTTCTTTACTGACAAGTCATAAGTGTACATTATGTTACCTATATGATGAAATGATTTTTGAATTGAATTGAATTGAATAACTGAAAGCTTACTACGTCAGTACCCTTATACTTATGGATATTATGTAGTACGAGAATTGATGGTTGGGTTCGACGTTAGATGGTGTTTGGGTTATTCGTTAAGGAGCCAGGTCACTTTTAACTCAATCAAAGGTATTAAAGACGCCTGGCAGGCGTGTTGAAACGTATGGTCTCTGTACATAAATGATTGATTTTACTCCTTGTGCAAACATTATTTCGTTTTAATAGGGTATGTTGACAACAGACGCGCTACATTTTGACAGATTTTGTCTGCGTCCTTGATAACTTTTCCTTTCTCAGATGTCTAATACACGCCGTTAAATTCCATCGTGCTCTTATTTCTTCATTGTGTAACCCTTCGGGGTATAAGCAAAAATGATATATAGCAAGTTCGCAAACAACGTAGTTAGTCGTCATAATATGCAAACGAATTGAATTTTTCATGTTTTGTTAATTAAGTCTCATAGTACAAAATTAATCAATGCTAATAGACATAGTCGTAGACATAACATTTATTACTAACAAAAACAAACACACAAAATAACAATAATAAAAAAAAAAATATACTGAGAGATATAAAAAAATTTTTTTTGTTCCCTTTTCCCATTCGGTTCGTTTCAAGTGTGTAATGCGTGTGTGCTTTGGTTGTAATTGGCCCTGGCAGCATTATGCTGTGGAGCAGAATGTTCCACAGCGCTGGTCATTCTGCCAGAGACCACAGTAGCTAGTTTGCGTCTCAGTCTGAAAAAAAAGATAAATACACGAATATTAAATGATGTGCCACTTTTAATGTTTAAAAACACTTAATTATTAAATAATTTAATAAGTAGTTTAATTAATCAATCAATCAATTCATGTGTTCTTCATCTTTTGCATAGACTTTTTTTTGTATTATTAACCCACAAAAGTTGATTACAAAGTTTTGTGTGAAACCGTACAAAATCCTTAATTATTAACTGAATCGGCTCCGGCCTGTCTTAATTACAAACTTTTCGAGCGTGATATTACGCGAATGGTGATCTTTTATCGTCAATACAATTTCAATTATACTGAAAATTTATTATATTAACGAAGTTTATATCATTATTAACATTATATTTAATTAGCTTATATTTTATTAACATACATATTATAGCTTTGTTACTTGAGAAGGGTAGCGGGGGTAGAATGGTGCAGAATAGTGAAGGACAGATCAACACGGTGACATTTGAAGGAAGCCTTTGTGGAGATACAAGCTGTATTAGTGGTAATAATAATGTAAAAAAAATATCCTAGACTAACCACAGCAATGAAGGCTTATTTTTATTAATTTCTTTAATATAAATTATAGGCCTTATAAAAAAATTATAAATATCACAAATATACATCTTTTTCTCTGCAAAACGAAATTTCTAAGTTTTCTTCTATCTGTGTGTATGTTATGAAAATATATCTATAATTTTTGAGACAGGTTGTGGGGTTAAATCTGATAAAGATATTGTAATTAACCAGTTTTGATCAACGCGAATACTTTAGTTAGCCCAAAAGTCCAAAGGTCAACGGCTATATAGTTGTTCATATTTTATCTCTGGTCGTTACTTAGTTACGATAGACGGGTATGAATGTGTATAATAGCTACGGCGTAGCGCCGACATTCACACACATACATTCACAAAGAGTAGGGTACACTAATGCACATATCAAGCTGCGTAGCGTGGGCGTCGAACACATTATACTTTTACTATTCTGTCTATATTTACTAGGCGGCCGTAGCGGAAAAACATGATTTGGATCAAATACGTAACCAATATATTTGATCAAAAACTAATCACTCCTTAAGAGAAAAACATCTGAGAAGTGCTATAAATAATACATGTCATATGTCCTTGGCGTTACTGTCAGCCACCATTGTCATTATAATATCTCACAGAGATTATAAATTAACAACGTCAAAGTCAAATCAGTTCAAAACGGTAATACTAGTAGTTTATTTGATTTGCCAATATTGTTAGATCTATAAATTTTAAATTATTCAATGGTCGATAGTAATAGTCATTCCATAATCATTATTATGAGTAAAAACCATTTTTTTGCACCTTAACCTAAAATTGTACACTAGTCCGTGACTTCTGTTCGACTATGTAGTCTGTTCGGGTTCATTCTGTAGGATTACATTACAAATTCAGGTTGCTATAAATACAGGCACTGGTTCGTTTGGTCCTCGGGCCTCTTTAAATTACTGTAAAAGGGGGAAGGTGAGGCCCCTTACTCCGTACTTCGCTCACTACTGTGAGCGGGACGGAATCTGCCCTTCATGCAAGTGTAAACTGCGTCGGCTTAAGCTGGGGTTCGAGTCTCGCAGACGATGTCCTTGCGCTAGTCGGGGAAATTCCCCTTTATCAGACAGAACTATGCTCGTCAAAACAGCCCGATCTGAGCGGTCGAGGCCCTTCAGGCCAACATAGAGATTCCATAGAAAAACGTTAAACGGCCGATGCCAATCTAAATATTTTACGACGTCACCATTTTTAATAATTCATCTATTGGTCCTGCTTTTGATATTACTCAGGTCATGCTTTCTAGTGATTGCTCAGGTTCTCGCTTGCAGCTTTATCAACAACTCGTCCCCATTTATGCCTGCCAGTCGTTAGACAACAATATTCCTATCATTCGTCTTCTATATGTACCATAATTATTACCTTATAAAAAATAATAAAAAAGGAGTCCCTGTCGAAGAAAATTTATCTAATGCACAGAGCATTTCCTCTCTATATTGCGATATCCTGTGCGAGAAAAGCATCAGCATTCACATCGACCTGAGCGCAACTCGGGAGCTTAAATTTTTAACTACTTCCCGTGCACTTTTACCCTATGGCCCAAGAGTATTAAAAATGGAACGAAATTTATGTTAGTGAAAAAACTTGTATGATCGGCCTGTACGACTATGATTAATTAATGTTAACAGAAATGTATAATGGAACGTGCATACTTAATTTAACATTCATGATTCATGACATAGTATTAATTTCAAGCCTCTCCTTCATTATGAATTTTTACGTAATTAACAATGGAAAATTCTAATGTGAAAATTCGCTGGCGGGATTGTAAACGTTCATGAAAAATTAAAGAATTGTTTAACAAATAATTTTATAAATTCTTTGTAACGGTAAATTAGATTGTGTTTGCATATACGAGTATGTTATGGATACCGTGCCGGTGCGAATGGTATTGGTTGTCCCAGCTCTACCCGATGCAAAATATATTTTCTAAGTTTAAGTAAGTAGTAAGTAAGGGTTTATTTGGTTGGGTCTTTCACTTGATAAAATGGTTAATAATATTAATAAAGCCACTTTAATTCCATACTATCAAAATTATACTTTATATTATATATATTAAACATATCAGATGTGGGTTAGTTTTGTTATTAAACACTTAGTCTACACGCTTAGTCTTAGTCTACTTTAGTTATTGATATTTCCAATACTTCGTGTTCTGCAGTATTGAACCCTTTTAGATAAAGTCCTCCTAAACTTACCATTTGGATTGGTTCATTGTTTCCTCTATCCATTTCTACCCAGAAGCCTTTATGATATCGTCAGCCCATCACTTTTGTGGTCTTCCCATGGTTCCTTTTCCTGGAGGTGCCATCGATAAAACGATTACAAAGTATTAAGTGTTCTCTCCATCTCTGTATTTCCCGCACGAAAATACCACTGCTTGGCCTTTCATATAAGTCAAAGGTCTAAGTAGTATTCAATTATAGTTATTATTACACCTTAATAATGAATTAAAATGTTATCTTGACCAAAGCTGCCCTTAATAATTATTTTTGGTCTTAGTTTAGGCATGTGTTGTATTGCCTTATGTTCGAAAGCATTTGAGGCAATAACTGTTAGACCCCAAAAGCTTGGAAATATACCAATAAAACATCATCGTATTCTTAATATAGGGAAACCAATTATACATAATTAGTATAAAACTTTTAATTACAACTTATTAATTTAATAAGCGTTAAAAATTGTTCACGACAGCTCAGCATAAGTATTAAGCTCATAATGCGCGCATTATTAAAGCCCTCAAAGACACTTTAATCGCCGCTTTTATCTGCCATACCTTCAATATATTATACGTAATTGGCTCCTCGTGCGACGAAAAAACAGTTTTCAAAAAAGAGTTTTTAAATTATATAGATTTTTACAGTTTTGCTTTGGTTACAGAATAGTTAATAAATCAATTAAATCTTATTTTAACACAATTCATACAGTGAGTGTTAGCTTAATAGTTTAGCGAGCTAATGACAAAGATTCGAGAACTGTCCAGTTGTGGACCAATAAATGTTTCTCGTACAGTCGTCAGAATATAATGAGGTATCACATTTGTCATACCCCAATATTTAAGACTAGTTTGTCACTATTTGCTTATTTAAAAAAAAAAGGGTGCGTGTACTTATGTACGCGCGTAAGAAGTTATACTTCTTTGGCATTATTAAAAATAGTTTTTGATTGCATGCAAATAATTAATTACAATTAAATAATCAATTTCATATATCATCATCAATCGCATATTCTATTTCTTTTTACTTGTAGATTGTCTTATTCCTATCTCGCTCGCGCACGCTATAATCACACTCCCAATTTTGTGTCACAGGTGCGCGCGCATCGTAAAATTTCACTCTCATAAATTTTTCATAACGCGCCTAAAGAAATATAATATATATAGTATAACTTCAAAAATGTAAACTATGACTCTAAAAAGATTTATTAATAATTGTTATTAATGTTATAATAAACTATAAATAACAGTTTTGACGTTAAAATTACTAGTGACTGCAGACTGGTGTAGGTTGACCGAGCTTTTAAATTAACCTATACTGTGGTAATGTTATTGGCATTTTGTAGAGTCAAAGGTTTGCGCACCGCTTGTAGCTTTATTAACTACTATATTAAATTACTTGTGTTTACACTGCGGTGAAAAGGGATCAGTAAGGGTTTAAACAATACAGATATATTATTTTTATGAGGATACATTTTAAATTGTATTTTTATGAACAAAGCCAAATAAAAAAGGCCTGCTAGATATTGGCATTCGATTTCTTTATTTGTTTCTTGACAATTTTTATGATTACAAAAAAGCTACAGCCAGCATCTGAATACTGGGCGTTTAAGACGGTACTTCACTCCGGGTCATCGCTTGCAACTGTATAAAACGCAAATTATTCCCCGCATGGAGCACTGTTCTCATCTCTGGTTGGGAGCTCGCCAGTACCCACTCCTTCCACATGACCGAATTCAACGAAGTGTGATTCGAATCGTAAAGGAAACGCATTCGCGAGCACGGCGTTGAGAGTGTCCCTGGGTGTCCATTGACACTCTCACTCTCTGTTCTATTAAAAAAAACAAGGCCATATACTAATTGGAAAAATAAATTTTCCAAAATTTCAATTCCATGACTTTATCGCTCACCATTTAAAAGTAGTCGAATACTGAATTGTTATTTCATCACGTACGCGTTCACTTAGGGAAAAAGTTGGAACTTTTGAAATCTAAGCAATTTGCTTTAACGATATTCTTTCACACAATTTTATAAACAGCTTTATAGGGCTCATTTAATATTGTAGTATTCGCACTATGAGCGGGTAGATAGGATCATTTTTATTACACATAAACCTAATTTTATTGAGGTATGTTTACTGAATTCGGAGCACGTTCATATTGCCATATTATGGTATTTTTATTGTATTTCGTAGACAAAAATTTGGTTTAGTCTAATAAAAATGCTTTAACAGTTATTAAGGGATAAGAAATTGAATTGGTTTATGACCACATTTTACTCTTACAAATTTATAAGGTTTTGTAGGACGCAGGCAAAAGGTAGGTTCAGTATCTAACAAATTAATCTGTGTTAACCCTCTTTGAAATAATTTATAATAACAATTTATTTGTAACCATTCTTGCAAATAATAAATAGTAACACAAAAAAATAAAAAATAAATCAGTGGCGCTACAACCTTTTTTAGGTCTTGGCCTCAGATGTCTGAATCTGTTTCATAATCATTTTTTTAATCTAATAGGCAAGTAGGTGATCAGCCTCCAGTGCCTGACACACGCCGTCGACTTTGGGTCTAAGACATGTCGTTTTCCTCACGATGTTTTCCTTTACCGTTCGAGCAAATGTTAATGAAAGTCCATTGGTGCACAGCCGGGGATAGAACCTACGACCACAGGTATGAGAGTCGCACGCTGAAGCCACTAGGCCAACACTGCTCAATAGTAACATATAAAATACAAAAAATTCCTGGTTTTTTAATTATTAGATATAAATGTTTTCTTTATTGTTTCTATTGGCTTTTCCCATTTAAATTTAAATAACCTCGCATCGTAATGAAAACATTCCACCGGAAATAAATAAATTAAACTTACAAATGCGATTATAGACATAACTTTTTTCTTGTTTGATGTGATGTTTTAGTAACGTTTTTATTGTATTTTTACCTCTTTAGTTTATAAGGAATTGAAATAAGTTTTTTTAATTATTGGTATTAAAAACAAAAACGTTTTTTACTTTTAATCTATTATTCTCTACCCGAATCAACAGTTCTTGATTTTGTTAAGGCTATTTACATTGATCTTCGCACTTATCCCCAATCATATATCAAATCGTTCTTTGAATAGAAACATATAAGACCCATACAATATTCAATGTTTTTACGAAGACAGCGTTAACAGATAATGATCCAAATTGTTTTCATTGGGTATGTATTATTACAATTGAGTTTTAAATTTAGTAAATATAAAATTAATACTTTTTATTAATGGGCTAGTTTGTCTTTGTCCAAAATATGTTAAAAGCACAAACCTCTTTAAGTCTTAGTCGGACAATTATCTTTGATCTGTTTTTCTTCAGCGATACAATAGGCATAGTAATTTCTACTTAGCCGACATGAGAGTTTTAACCACTTGGTCGGGGTCAGAACCCAATAGGGAGGGAGAAAAACTACAAAATATAATTTGCGCTCCGACAGGGCATTGAACCCTAGACGTAACGTTGCATTTACGTAACTAGCTAACTACGCCAATAAAGCAATTCTCAACATGAAACCTATCATAAATCTATTCGCATTCGTAATTCGTATTTGTTTCAGGGAAGGCAATCCAAGCCTGCGGTAAAGCGCTTTACATAAACAAATAAAAAGGTCTTGAAGATAAAAATATTATGTAATTTGTCGAAAATTTCATTATTCTCGAAACGACGTAATAGAATCACAACTATTTATAGTGCTCATGAAAAAAATAAAACGACGATTTAATTGTTCTTTTAATATTGTGCTAAGATCTTGTGTTCAACATTAAGAGAAATTAAGATGTTATAAAAATTGCCGGTTAAACGCGTTTATCAGAATTTTACATGTGACCACGCGAAACGTAGTTCAGACTCATTTTTTTAAATTCAAAATAAATACTCATAATATTGAGAAATTTAACGACGTTTAATAGGATATAGGTCTATAAAAAGGCGAAAGTGGAAATGGGTGGGGCCATACGCTCCGGAGGGGTCCAAGCCACATTGCCAAGCAAGCCCTCGACTGGAATCCTCTAGGCAAAAGAAAACGTGGCCACCCAAAACACACCTGCCAACTAAGCATCATGCAGATTGCAGAGGCTATGGAAGCTGGAAGGACATGGAGTGAAGTTATGAGAGCAACACAGGACAGATCAGGCCCCAGAGGGCTGGGTGCCCTAGGCAGAGGGAAATATGACTTTAAAGAAGAAGAATAGGATTTAGTGGCTTGACATAAATTAAAAAATATCTATATAATATCTTCTATATATATTCTTATAGTTCATACCAAAATTAATCATAAATACAGCAAATTAAATAAGAAGCATTCTCATATAAGGTCTATTTATAAGATTGTATAAACAAAATTGAATTGTTGTATTGAAAGCTTCCCAAATGTACAATTCAGGCTTCGAAACAAAGACTTATCAGTATTCAGCGTAACATCGTTATTCCACTTTGTTTTATTGACAAAGAAAATACTCATTTGCAACGGAGTTGTGAGTTAAAATCCTGACACCCTCTTTTAGGAAATTACCATAAATTTTATTTAGTACGTACTAAGATTTCACACAGTGAATTCAAATTCAAAATTCAAAAATCATTTATTTACGTAGGTAACACAATGTACACTTGTGATTCGTCATTAAAGAAATACATATTAATGCTTCTAATTTTACATTTACTGCCAGTTCTCAAATCAAGGGCGTAGAACGGAAGAGAAGAACTGGCAATAAACTCTCCGCCACTATTTTTAATCGCCATGTTTTTTTTTACACAACGTTTGTAAGGAGCTGCAACCATTACACCTGATACATCAATAAAAGGCGGGCTCGAAAGACAGACTGATTTATTAATGTTCGTAATAGCAGGTAGGCGATAGATGCTACATCTTTCCCCTACAAACCACGAAATACATTTTAAACCACTAATAGGAATACAAGAAATATTACAAAATTTACATAACCTAGTACTTAATAAACTAAACCAAAATAAAAAAAAAATAAAAAAAAAAAAAAAACCTTATCAACTATTATTTTTAGCTCGCTTTAAAGCACGCAATGCTCGAGCCGATAGTTCCTGAGAGGACTCGGACAGGGTCTGTGTTGATTGAGACTCCACCTGACACGCTTGATCATCTGATTTGTTGATTGTTTTATTAAGACTCTATCACTCTCTTCAGTTGTAACCTCCACCATCTCAGACCCATTATTACCCTCCTGTTCTGAGACAACCACTGTATTCGTGCGACATTGAAAATCTGTTTTTATTTGAAGGCTGCATGTCTACGCCACTCAATACCGTTACCCAAATCCCAAATCAACTTTATAAGAAACTGGGCCCGTCCTTTTACACACCTTTCCTGAAGCCCATTTCTCCCCTCTTTGCCTATAATCTCTTGCAATTTCAAACTCTCGCTGAGCGCGCGGTTGGGGGGTTGGCGTGTTGCTTCCTTATCCCGAACAGTGGCGGCCGCGTCCGGTCGTATTGCGTCTAAACGGGCTACGTAAACGACGCCCTTGCAACGCCACGGCCGGTGAAATGCGCCTGGTGGGGTGCTCTCACGGTAAAAAGAAATTTATCGAGCTGCGTCAATATTTTCGCCTTAAAAACTGCCCTTTTAATTGTTTTTAACGGTTTTGAGCAACATTTTCCGCTGCTCCATTGCCCTGAGGTCGATGAAGGAGCCGAAGTAGTATGTTTAATGCAATTACTTCACAATAATACTCAAATTCAAAAGAACAAAATGGTGGACCATTATCAGTCACGAGCTGTGATGGTAAACCAAATCTTGCAAAAAATCGTTATCGGCTGGTTTTATCATTGAAAATACTTCTATCCATTTCGTGTTTGCATCAACAACAATAAGATACCGCCTCACCCATACTCCGCGAAAGTCAGCATGCAAACGATGCCACGGGTGCAAAGGAAACTCCCATGGGTGAATTTGGGCTCGGGGTGGCGCAGCCCCACGGGGACCGAAACGCCCCACAGTTCCTACAAAACGTCTCAATATCGTGATCTAAACTCCCCAATCCGTAGCTCTGGTAAACTTTTTATTTTATTCATTCCCGAATGACCCTGATGATTCATCCAATATTTTTTTGTAAATTCGTTGGAACCACAATTCTTATTTATTTCAACCTTGTTCAACAGCAAAATCATGTTTTCTAGCAAAATATGGTTTCACCTTCACAACTCGGATCCCTTGCCAACCAAAAAAATATACCGTTTGATTTTAACAAAAATTATCTGTTCAGTTTCCTGGAATATCTTTATAAGAAATAGGGTGAAGAGTCCGCAACTAAATTAAGATAATCTACTGAATCTGCAGAATCGACCCTCTTGAGGGGAAGCGGCAAACGCGACAAAGGGGCATCGGCTGGAGCGTTATCTGCCGATCGTACAAATTCTATCGTAAAATCATATGCAGCCAAACGTGCTGCCCATCTCTAACCGACTTGCTGCAGTCAGAGGAATCACCTCCCCTTACTGCCAAAAATATATTGTCAACGGTGGATGATCCGTACGTAATGTAAAACGTCTTCCCAACAAATATTGATGATGTTGGAAAAACACCAAGGGCTGTAAAATGGTGTAACTGCGTTCCGCTGCATTAAGCGTGCGGGAAACACAGCTTACGGGCCGCTCGACCCCCCCGGCCGGGGCGGGGGGGGGGGGGGGGAAAAACCCCCCCCCCCGGAAAGCGGTGCTATCCACTGGCAAAGCTGAACTCTCGACCATCCTCGTGCGGTGCGAAAACCCGTTTACAGAGTTGATCGCTTTGCCTTTACAAACGCCTCCCACATTTTGGAATTCCAGTGGCCCAAGAAGAATTTTTTTAAATAAATTATGTAACGGTTGCAAAAGAAAACTTTTTTTGGGTTACATTACTTGGCGTGGGTGCATCATTAATAGGCTTGTAACTTATCAGGATCTGGTAACAAACCCTGTTTATTTATAATAAAACCAAGATACCTTAACACTATCTTGCGAAAATTTACATTTAGATAATTTGACAGTTAGCCCCATACTACGCAAACGTTCGAGTACAGCCTTAAGTTAGGTTATCTTTCGCCTCTTCTATTCCGGGCCTGTCACACAAATGTCATCTAAAAAACGACACGGCCGCTCACTACACGCGCAACGTTTCTTCCATTAATTTTTGAAATTTTTCGGTATATGGATGGATAAACCATAAGGGAGTACGACGATAAGCAAAAGTACCCATGATGAGTAGTAATGGCAGGTGACCAGCTGTGATTCCTCAGATAAAAGACACTGCTCGTACGCGTGGCGTTAAATCTATTTTAGTAAACTGCCCCCTCTTAAATTAGCAAATAATTCATAAATTCGCGGTAATGGATAAAAATCTCCTTTTAATTTGGGATTCACAGTTATTTTATAGTCCCCACAAATACGTATCTTCCCATTTTTTTAAACTACTGGTACGATTGGGGTCCCAAAATCGGACTACCCCACCCGATAAATGGATCCGTCTGCCTCAAGACGCGCTAGCTCGTTCTCAACTCGCGGGGGGGGGGGGGGGCGGGGCCCCGGCCTCGCTCGCCCCATAAACCGGTTCGTTATCGCAAAGTTGTAAACTAATAGTTTTCTTACATGTGCCCAACTTATTACAAAATACTTCTGGAAATTTCTTGCTTAATCTATTCACAAAAGAATCTTCCGCGATTTCATTAAGATAAATTTCTTTAATATTCAACGCACGTAACCATTCTCGTCCTATTAAAGGTCTAGCACCTTCTTTTATAATATATAAACGTAATGTTAACTTCCTCGACGCCCAAACGCACTTTTACCTCAATGTAACCCAAAGACCCGATCTGAGTACCTGAATAAGAACGTAAGATTATGCCATTCCTTATAATTACTTTATGATAAAAGAATCTATTATACATTTTTTCACTTATTGCTGATATACGACTTCCCGTGTCTACTTCGCATCGAAAAAATTACATGTAGATGCTAAGTGTTTAAGGGCCTGCAAATAGTCGGTTAAAGACTCCCCAATGTGGTGTGACGTCGCAAACGAAACACGTGCCGTTCCGCGATTTCGGACCTTTGAGGTTCTAAATGTTCGGTTACCAATTGACCAACTCATCAAACGTCGAATCCTCAGGAAATCGTGGTGCACAAAGATCACACATCACATGTTTCTTCCCCGACCACAGTCACCAGCATACTAACTTTTAATTCCTCCTAATTTTATTCAGTTTAATATATTGTTTAAGGCCGAATATAAGCTGGCCATTGCTTGGAACTTAAATTAAATGGATCAATTTTCCCAATCGACATTATGTTTTTTTAATCGTTAAATAAACCTCGTCGGCCAAATGATACGTCAATAAAAGGCGGACTCGGAAGACAGACTGATTTATTAATGTTCGTAATAGGAGAGATAGGCTACAACACCATGTTCCACATGACATCTTAAGTAATTAATAATAATAACATAAATTAAAAACAAATACTTGTCCTCTATCAGCAGGAGGCATGGTGAAATAGGAGGGAGCACGCACTTACATTCTCGTGGGAACAACACGCAAACACATAGTCGAAATAATTAACATCACCGCATACACGAATTCAAGTACGACCAGTCACCACAAGTAGCACCCGTTCACGAGTATGACGCATGGCCAGCCATCGGCCCCCATGATTGAACTGATATCAAAAAGTATTCGGTTCAAGAAACGTATTTTATGTGTGATTATACTGTCGGTTATTTTTGTAGAATTGTAAATAACATTAGAATTTCATTTTCAAACCAAAACATTACAGAACAATAAGACTGTTAATGAACCTTACTTTAAGAATTGAAGTCAGCCTAATATCACTTATAATTGAATAGGCTAGATTGTATAATGTATTGGTTTATATACAATCTGAAATGTAGATTATTTCATTCATTTATTCCTCGATAAATTAGGTTTCAACGATCTTAAACGATGCGCAATATTTAAGTCTGTTAACAACATATTGTATGTAGTAAAAATACAATGGATAGTTACCATTGACAATATTTACAAAAGAAGTAACCGCTTTGTGTTATCTATACCCTTGCATTTTAAAAATATGCCATAAAGTTTTTTCTTCGTTGTATAATATAATATGTTCTTTTGTAAAAAAAAACAATTTCTTAAAACTCGCAAACTTGTGAACTGTCGAAAACTTGTCTCAGAATTTGACGCATCTA